GGTGTGTGGAAACTGCGTGGTGTTTGTATGAGTGTGTGGTGTGTGTGCCTGTGTAAGGAGTAGTGTCCAAGGCGACCGCCGGCACCTGGATTGAAAGATGAGGGAGGCTGCCAGCCTGAGGATTGATGCCCCTGGCTGTGGCTGTTCCTCTCCTCCCTGTGGGCCGAACCCATATTACGATCCCCAGGCCGGGCTCCCCAGATACCATCTCCCAGCAGGGGCGGAAGTATGTTCCGTTTGAATACTCCTCCGCACTGCCCCCAGGCTGTGGGACTGTCCCTTCTCCGACTTCTGCAGGGCCTCCAGCTGACTTGAGCAAAAGGAGAAAACACTGGCATTTCCACTTCCCTGGCCTCTCCTGCATCCTCAGGTGCCTACACCCTGATGGAATACAGTGACACACCCACACTTGACAAGGACAGAATCCGCGGCTCAGAGAGTAGGAGGGGTCTGCCCACAGCGACGGGACCTCTCGGAGCGAAGTGCAGGGCTCTGGACTTCGGGATTCTTTCCTGCTTGGTCCCCCTGGTCCCTGCCGGGGCAGCGCTGACTACTGTCCTCCTTCTAGATAGCTTGGCCTGGGACAGAGATTTCACTAGCATCCAGCAGCAGGGCCACTGATTGCCTCCTTTCTCCATAGGACAGGTTTTGTTTGTTTTGTGTTTGTATGAGACAGCACTGCACTCTATAACCTGGTTCGGTCTGCTCCCGTTTCTGCCTTCTGAGTGTTGGGACTACAGATATGAGTATCTCCATCTGTGAGATGCAGTCCCTGTGTGTGTGCGCGCACACACATATACAATTATTCACACACACACATACAGACACACACACACACACAGTGCTAGGAGGCCAGAGGAGTTGGGGAACAGAAGTTTGGGGCCACGCTGGATGGACCTGGAGAAAGAAGCAGCAGCGGAGGGGTGTAGCTCACCCAGGAACTTGCTGCACTCGTAGCCGCCAGCCTCACTACTGGTAGGAACATATCCCAGCATCCGTGGTACCCAGAGCCACCCTCTCCCTAGACCTCTCCCCAGGATCTGGAGTTGAGCTGCGTTCCGAACAACACGGGTGTGTGAGGGTCTCTCCCTGCACAACATCTAGAACAGAGAGAGGCCGGGATGATGCAGAAGATGGAAAGGCGAGGGGCTGGCTGTAGCAAGAGGGAAACAGAGGTGAGGGGAAAGAGAGGGAAAGACAAAAACAGAGAGCCAGACACAGAGGCAGAGACGGAGCAACACCCTGGGCCACAGCACGGGCAGAAAGTCACACTCTGGAGAGACAGAGATGGACAGAAAGAGAAAGACAGCGGTGAGAAGCACATATAGAGAGACCAAGCTGAAGAGACGGAGGGAAGGTGGACAGTCCATACTCACTGAACTTTTTGCTGGCTTTCTTGGGCATCTCTGTCATCTTGGCGAGTTGTTCAAAGCCCCTGGTCTTCTAACATGTGGCTGTTCCAGGCTCAAGGCATCAAGGTTGAAGGGCCTCCCCCGCACCCCTTCCCCTTTCTCTTGCCCTCTCACTCGCTTCCTCTGTGTATTTTTAAACTAGAGAAACTCCCACAGCCCCACCCTCCCACCCTTTCCACAGGGGGCGGGGGCTGGGGCCGGGGCCTCCCCCATCCAGCCCAGCCCCTAAGGGCCTCTTCAGCCAGCAGCAGGGGCACAGGGGGCACACCACAAACCCATGGGACCTGGAAGGCCCGAGGAACAAACCACAGGCTCTGGGAACAGAGCCCACTAGGCTGGGGGCCACTGGGGACCTGCCAACAGCTGTCAGGGGCCCTGGCCCACGGGATAGGAAGTCCAGGAGACAGGCCCATGGCTAGGGCAGTTTATTCTAAGCCTCAGTACCCAGGAGCTAGAGTGGCAGTAATAAAGAAGAGAATGCTGGAGGTAGGCCTGTGGACTTGGGCCTACTTTCAAATTGAACTTTTGATTGGCTGCTTTGTCACTGACTACGGTCGAGAAGATTCACCTGCCTGAGCGTCAGTTTCCTTTGGGTAAGCAGGAAGTGCTAACTTCACAGTGGCCAGCACACCCACACAGAACCAGCCGCCCAAGTTAGCAGAGGCATGCCAGAATAGGTCTTCCATATCCTTTGGGCAGGGATAGGGAAACTGAGGCACAAAAAGGGAAGGGGATTCCCCCAGGTCACAGACAGAGTTGGTGGCACACACTCAGTTGCAACTTGTCTTTCCACTAATATAGAGGCTGGAGCCTTGCAAACATAAACACGTACGTCCAAACACATGTGAGCACGCGAACACACGCATGCGTTCTGTGGCCACACAGAATATGAGGAAATGAAACCCCCATGTACACCTGGAGTGGGGCAGCGGGGCAGTGGCACGTGTTGAGGTTGGGGCGCCACAAGGTCAAGTGTAGTTCGGAAGGCTGCCATCTCTGCAGCCTCAGTGACCAGATCTCTACAAGAGGGACAGAGCGAGACACAGCCATCCTTCTGAGACTCTGTGTTCCTTCCTGTATTTTTTCTGTGCCTGGGATGCGATCCCTTGCTAAGCAAGCTCTCTACCGCAGAACCGCATCCCCGGCAGCCCTGAGTAGACGTTTTTCTGTTGTTGTTTTGAGATTTAAAAAAAAAAAAAAAAATCTGATGTTGTCAAGGCTAACCTCAAATGTGTGATCTCTTTGTCTTGGTCTCCAAGAACTGGGATTACATGTGTGCAGACAGCCCGCCTGGCCCCGTAGCTGCTGATCGGGGCCGTGAGGGGCACAGTCCAGGACAGATGGATCCTGCCCTGCATCCTCTGTCACGGTCAGTCTTGTCCTCCAAAGTCAAGTCACATGGGGCTGGCTGCTGCTGCTGCTCTGACGACAAAAAGAGCACTGGGAGCTGACTTCTGGGCCATTGGCGCCTCAGTCTCCTGTCAGGCCGTGCTGGTGGAAGAGAGGCCAGATCGACTGTCTTGATGTGGTGAAGAGGACCCCAAGGTCCTGAGAGAGAAAGAGACCTAGCCCTGTGAGGTTTTGGGTAGCAGGGTCCTGCTCACGTAGGCCTTCCTCACTCAATGGCCAAGGAGGAAGTTTCTAGACCATTATCTGACATTTTGTTGCTGTGACAAAACACCATGACCTAGGCAACTTATAAACGTCTATTGGGACTCATAATTCCAGAGCAGACTCCTGGGTTGGGACCCCCTTCCCTCTTCAGGCTACTGTCAGAAGATAGGAAGGAGCCTATGGCCTGGAAAGAACTGAGGGTCTTCCCAGTGGAGGGCAAACTGTAGACCCCTGGCTTCTCTGGGAGACAGTTACAATGCGACCGGGACGAATGGCCTAGGCTGTGGTGGCAGCTGACCAGACCAGTGCTGGCTTTCTGGCCCGACCAGCCTTCCAACGGCTGTGTACTGTGCCTCTCTGGTTTCCTTACCTATGAAAAAAGAATCAGAGTTGTCAGGGTCTGGTCTACACACAGAAGCCCTCAGCAGGCCCTGGCTCTGTGGCTGTGGGGTGGTCGCATGGGCCAGGAGTGCAGTGGGCAGGGCCAGGCCAACCATGGTGGGCAGGCAGGCACACCGTGTGAGACCTAGGAAGCTGAATCTTAAGAGTGTCGGTTGCTATGGCACAGACGCCTTGTCAGGGCCAGACTTGCTGTTGGCCCAGGCGCCAGGATAGTTGCTGGTGTCCCTGGGAGAATGAATGGGGCTCAGTGTGGTGAGGAAGCTGTGCTCAGAGCCCCCTTTGTGCAGCCTTAAGTGGCCGTTGGAAGCGTGGTAAGGGAGACCTGCTGGCTCGTGGCTGTCCTGCAGTCCCCGCACAGCCTGCGCTGGAGGCCTACCCAGTCATCTCGGTTGCTGCAGTCGCCCTGAGCTCCTACCTAGGGCTTCCCCTCCTCAGGGTAAGCCTTTGCCTAGGCTTGACCTGCACTGCCAGGCTACACTTCCCTTCCTGTGGTCCCTCCAGGGCAGAACTGAACTGATGCCATCCCCTCACCCCCACCATAAAACACTGCTTCCTGGAAAAGGAATGGGTCTTCTCCATCCATACTGGCCCTGCTGGGGGGTGCTGTGCTGTAGACATTTACGATGACATTTTATACTGCCTGATATTAAAGGCAGTGTAAAAAACAAAAGAAAAAAAAAAGAAATCTGGTTTGTGGTGGCACATGCCTTTAATCCAAGCACTCAGGAGGCAGAGGCCAGCCTGACCTACTGAGCGAGTTCCAGGACAGCCAGGACTACGCAAAGAAACCCATTCTCAAAAAGTCAAAACAAAACAAAAACAAAACACCCAAATCAACAATACAAAAGGCAGTGTAGCAGAGACCTAGATTTTAATCCCAGCTCCACAGTTCTTTGGGTGTGTGGCCCTTGCCAGGCTACTGAGCCAGCTTCTTCTTCTGTCATCTGGATCTAGCCATTGCAGGCTCCTTAGAGGACTACAGTAACACTTAGGGAGATGATGTGTGTCAACACCAGGCTAGCACCTGTAAGCCTAGCACTTGGAGAGGCAGAGGCAGGCAGATCTCCATAAGTTCAAGGCTACCCTCGTCTACAAAGAGAATCCAGGACAGCCAAGGCTACACAGAGAAACCCTGTCTCAAAAAACAAACCAAAACCAAAACCAAACAAACAAATAGAAAAATGAGCCAGGCGGAGGCAGCGAAAGCAGCAGGAGCTTTCCATGACTGAATGGGGGCCTCGCTACTACAAATTGTTCTCTGTTCGGCATCCCTCAACTAGTGACTATACCTCACAGCTAACAGCTCAAATCTTAAGAGCCTGCTTTCACTTCTCCAGCACTCTGGAGGCAGAGGCAAATGAATCTTTACGAGTTCAAAGCCGGCCTAGAAAAGCACTCTAAGGTTTTAGGGTCTTTGTTTTTGTCTCCTCCTGCCCCAAGACAGTTCTTGCTTTGTAGCTATGGCTTACCTGGAACTCACTGTGTAGACTAGACTGGCCTCAAACTCGTATTCATCTGCCTCTGCCTCCTGGGTGCTAGGATTGTGTGCCACCAGGCTTGGATTTATTTATTTTATTTTTTAGACAAGTTCTCACCGAGATTCTAAACTGGCCTTGAACTTGCTTGTCTTTAGCCCAGACAAACCCTGAACTTTAAACTTTCCTGTTTCAATCTCTTTAGTAGCTGGGATTTTAGTCCTAGGCCAACCAGCCCTGGCTTCCTTAGCTGTTAAATGGTCACAGAAGAGACTCTTGGGGTGTCATCAGCCAGCCAATGAGTAGGTGGTGTGAGGTTGGGTCACACGCTGAGCCTTGGTGGTTTTGGCAATCCACAGGAAGCAGGTAATGTTTTCAGCCAACAAAGCAGAAGCCAAAGTGGATTCGAAACGGCTGATTTCTCTCTGGTTCCCTCCTGGATTTGCCAGTTGCAGGGAACCGTGGCTCCATAACTGGGCAGTCTTCCAAAGCTTCTAGATTACCATTGCTTCCCCGTGGAGGGCTGGGGGCTCTGGAGGGGAAGTGACTGGAAGATGTCAGGCCTCCTGTTTGAGGGCAGAGGTGACAACATCTCAGGAAATGCTGCTAAAGCCTCTGCCCACAGGATGTGACTTAGGGAGGGCTCATGCAAAACAGGCAGCAGCTACAGCCTACAAATCCACACAAGCCCATAAAACAAACAAACAAACAAACAAAGCCCAAAAACCTGGCATCCGTGCTATAATTACCTACCACATCTCCAAGGAACACCAAGGCAGTTCTGCCCTGGTTTCCCTTGGAACTCAGACTGGAAGGAACATAAGGAACTATATGGAGTTTATACCAAGCTTACCTGGTTCAAAACTAGCGTGGTCACTGGCTGGCTGTGTGACCATGGCCCAAGAATCTCACCTCTGAGTGTCACACTGGAGGTAAGAGTAGTGGCCCCTGCATATGACTGAGAAGAGAACCGGCTGCCATGCAGGGCTAAGTGTGGGGCTTAGTCACTTTCTTTCTATAATAATTGTAATTACTGCAATTACTGTCTCCTTCTTACCCCTTATTTTTTTTCCCTTCCCTACTTCTTGCTTCAGATAAGCAATGTATCCATCCATTAAGGCAACAGGCTCCTGGTCACTCCCTGACATACAGCTTGATTTCCTAAAGCCCTGGCTGGCTCTAGTGAATGTCTTGAAAAACCTCCCTGGCAGGATCCTTCTCATAGCAGGTAGTCCTGGGACACCAAAACCGTCTGCCCTTCTAGACAATGTGGGGTAGAATCAAAAAGCTCTGCTGGGCACAGTGATGCCTGGAGACTGAAGCAAGAGGAGTGCCTAGGGGCTGGAGAGAAGTTCAGTGGTTATGAGCGCTGTCTGCTCTTCCAAAGGACCCGGGTTCAATTCCCAGCACCCTCATGGCAGCTCACAACTGTCTGTAATGCCAATTCCAAGGGATCTGACACCTTTACACTAACGCACATAAAATAAAATTATATAAATTAAAAAAGGGGAGAGCCTAGAGTTTAGGGGGTCAGTCTAGGCGACTTGGTGAGCCCCAGACCAGCCAGGACAGTATAACACAACACGGTTTCAATCAAACAAGAGGTGGAAGCAAATGGGAAGGCTTCCTGCAGCTCATACTGGGGAGTATGGTGTTACAAGGAATCACAGCAGGGGCTTGGGAAACTGGTAAACAGCAGGCAGCTTCTAGGACCACAGCCCAAGAGGGAAACACACTCAGAATTTCAAGACTGCAGAGGAAGATGTAACAGTCTTCAGAATGACATAGAAAAGGTTGGAGCGGAACAGATGGAGAAGCTAGGCTGGGAGAAGCAGAACCATCCTTTGGAGGGGTGTTGATGACCCTTCCCAAGGGGTGCTCCTAATTGGGAGCATGTTCCTAGCTTGGGAAGAAGCAGCATTCTGTGGCAGCTGGCATTAGGGAGCCAAACTGAGGCACGCGGCAGGACGCCGCAGGCAGGTGTCTAGGGAAGGGGCAGAATGAGAAGACAGCTTTGCTGCCTTGCGTCTGGGGGTTCCTGGGAACAGGGAGATGATGGTGAGGGAGGGTACCACAGGAAGGGTCTTAGGGTGAACACCGGGTTACCCAGCCTCCACAAGGCCAGTGGGCCTCAAACACACTGTAAAAATGAGGCATGGGAAACCTCTTCATAGCTACTAGAGCCAGCCTTGTCACTGTGCGACCATGAGCAGAACCCGACTTCTGAGCTGCAATTTCTTCTGTAAAATGGGATAGGGAACTTGATTCACAGGCTTGGTTCAGGATTCAATAGGAACATCCAGCATTTCTCTTTCTTTTCTTTATGCTTTTTTTTTTTTTTTTTTTTTTTTCGAGATAGGGCTTCTCTGTGTAGTCCTGGATGTCCTGGAACTCGCTCTGTAGACCAGGCTGGCCTCGAACTCAAAGATCCACCTGCCTCCCGGGGTGCGCCACCACGGCCCCGCTCACGCCCAGCATTTCTAAAGCACACAGGAGTGCTGGCCCAATGTTAACTATTTTTGCGATGATTGACCCAGGACAGACCAACCAGCTCTGGCGCAGCTCCGAGAAGTATCGAGTATCTCATCCTTGCCTTCCTAACATAACAAACAACACAAGATCCAGGGTTTAGGCCTGAGCGTTGCTCGCTCGCCGCCTCCAGTGTCGCCGCGCCCCCTGGCGGCCGTCAGTTGCCATGTCAACGGCGGGTGGCTGAGACGACGGAGGTGGCAGCGGGGGCAGTTCTCTCTTCCCAGGGCCTCAGGCCGCTCCCTCGGCATCTCCCGCCTTCGCCTAATCGGGAGCACACTCCTAGCTCGGGAAGAAGGGGCATTCTGTGGCAGCTGGCATTAGGGGGGTAAACTGAGGCACGCGGCAGGACGCCGCAGGCAGGTGTCTAGTGCGGGGCCCCACCTCCAAAGGCAGAGGAGGGGCCGTGAGCAGTGACGCGCCTAGGGCGGACGCTGGGCTGGCAGCGGGCGGGCGGGAGGCGGCGGCGGCAGGTGCGGCCGCGGAGGGTGGGAGGAAGAGGGAGGGGGCGGGCGGAGGGGGAGGGGAGGCCAGGACGGGCACCTCCCCCTTTATAACGCGCCCCCTCCCGGGCTCTCGGGCCGCCTCCTCGGCTGCTCTTCCCATCTAGCCCCCTTGCCCGGCCGCCCCGGGCCGGGCTTGGCCAGGGAGCCTCCGCCCCCAGGCCTTCCCCACCCCCCCCACCCAGCGCCCCGCGCAGCCCGGCGGAGGCGGCGCCGTCGGAGGAGGAGGAGCAGGGCACTGCGGCTGGCCCCGGATCGGGAGCCAGAGCGGCAGCAGCTTCGGCAGCAGCGCGGCCCGAGCCAATGCAGCGGGACGCACCGCCGCGAGCCCCAGCCCCGGCGCCACGGCTCCCTGCGCCCTCGGTCGTGGCCGCCAACAGCACTGGCGGCGGCGGAGGCGGGGGCAGTGGCGGCGGCGGAGGCTCCTCTGCAGCTCCGGCTCCCCCTGGCCTCCCGGGAACTACAAGTCCCAGGGGGCCTGGCGGCGGGCGGAGACCGGAAGAGGCGGGATCGGCGCCTCGAGGCCGGAAGTGGCCTTGGAGGCGGAAGTGGCGCGGCCGCGGAGGGGCCTGGAGTGTGGCGGGACCGGGAGCGGCGGGAGCTGCGGCTGGGGGCGGCGGCGGTGCGCTGGAAGCGGCCATGGCCAAGCAGTACGACTCAGTGGAGTGCCCGTTTTGCGATGAGGTCACCAAATACGAGAAACTTGCCAAGATCGGCCAAGGCACATTCGGGTAAGATTAGGCCGCGTGGGGCCGGGAGCCTGGGACCTGCACTTTACAGGGTCCACGTCCGGTCGCCGGTGCCCGGGCCGAGGTTGTCCACAGTTGTCTGTTTTCCTTGCTCGTTACCTGGTTTCTCGAGGCCGCGCCGCAGACGGTCCCGGGCTAACCGAGCCGACTGGCGGGGAGGAGCCTGAGGCCCGGGATGGGGGTGGAGTAGGGCTGCCGAGAGGCGCTCGGAATGTGAGCGGAATCCCTCGGAGACACCCCTGGGGGAGGAGCAGGGCCCGAGGAGGAGAGCGCAGAGCCTGGGAGAGAGACAGAAAACACGTGGTGTGGAGTAGCGGAGCCTCGGAGGCCGGGGCCGCGCCCCGCCGTCTATCTGGTCTCCCGCAGCCCCTCTTCTCATGGGGGAGGGGCGGGCCCGGCGTAAATGCCTGATGGGTCTCTTGGGTCTTTTGCTGTGCCTGCAGGGAAGTGTTTAAAGCCAAGCACCGTCAGACGGGCCAGAAGGTGGCTCTGAAGAAAGTGTTGATGGAGAATGAGAAGGAGGGGGTGAGTATACGGTCCACCAAGCAGGCCTTCCGGCCTGTATTGGGTTTCCACACTGCTGCTTCAAGGGATTTGAACTGAGATTCCTCCCAGTATTTTTCGATTTTCCAAGGAATTTGACTTTTAACTTAGATTTTTCAGTTTCAAGTGGCAAAGTTTGGTGGGGACCAAGCGAGGTATACTTTGCTCGTTGATTCTAGTAGTTAAATCTCTAAACACCTAAGCATTTAATTATGTATTTTCTGAAGCAACAATTTGTACATAGGCGGAATAAAAGGCCCCTTAGCTCAAACGGCTATTTTGAAAGTATGCTGTCCTACACATCATAGCATCAATGCAGCTTCATGACAACCTTTTTCTTAGTAAGGAAAAAACATACTTTATGGGTCTGGGTGTTTTGTTTTCTAGCATGTCTGTGTACAACACCATTGCCTTGTCCCTGAGGAGGCCAGAAAGATATTTTGGATCCTTTGGGCCCAGAGTTGAAAAGATCCACCATGTAGGTGCTTGATACTGAGCCTGGGTCCTCTGGAAGAGCAGCCAGTGTTTTGGGGTTTTGTTGTGTGTGTGTGTTTTCTCCTTCTAAAACAGGGTCTCTGTGTAAATTTTGTTTATCTTACTGCCCTGGAATTTATTGTCCAGGCAGTTCTCAAACTCACAGAGGTCCAACTGCCTCAGCCTCCTGAGTGCCAAAATTAAAGGAATCTGCTGCCACACCTGGCCATAGCCAGTGTTCTTAGCCATTCAGCTAACTCCAGCCCCAGGAAATTCTTGCTCTTAAACCGCAATTGTTAGTGCCACAGACTATCTCTGTTTGGATTATCTAAGATAAATTCCTAGCCCGACATAGAGGCTTATGACTATATTTCTGGCACTCAGGAGGCTGAGGGATAAGGATGGGGTCACCAACAAGTTGAAGCCAGCCTGGTCTAAATTGAACAATCTAGCAGTTCCTTGAGATGTGTGTATTATTGCACTTATTTTACGCTTTGCAAAGGCTGATTGCAGATGTATGCAGTGTGTGTAACTCTCTCTTCCCGCCCTATGAAGCAGGGTCTCCACTAACCTGGCTGGCCTTGAACTTGGCATTTCTGCTCTGTCTGACTCCTGAGGACTGGGATTGCATTCCATACAGGAACCATCACAGGAACCATACTGGCACCTGCCTTTCAAAATTGTCCCTTATTATTTAGACCTCATCCCCACCCCTGCCAGTTCCTTGGCCTTTTTCACTCTCAGTTTTGACCACTTCCTCTTTTTCTTCTCCCTAGTTCCCTATCACAGCCTTGAGGGAAATCAAGATTCTACAGCTCCTAAAACATGAGAATGTGGTCAACCTAATTGAGATTTGCCGAACCAAAGGTATGTTGCTTAGCTCTTGGGAGCAAATAAGGCTTAAGACCTTGTCTGGGCCCCTAAGGTGGACGTGACTCAGACTTATCACCGGCTTCTTCTGTTTTTTGTTTGTTTGTTTTGTTTTGTTGTGTTTTTGTTGTTGTTTTCTTTTGGCTCCTAGGCAGGGTTTCTCTGTGTAGCCCTAGCTATGCTGGACCTCACAATGAGATCCTCCTGTCCTTGCCTCTGGAGTGCTGGGATTAAAAGCATGTACCACCACCTCCTGGCTCCTTTGGTCTTTCTTCATTGGAGTTGGTGCTTTCCATGGGCATTCGTGGTTTCTGTGGGTTGGAGGGTTAGGAATTGGCTGTGGAAAAATGAGGTGGGTCTAGGTTTTCTGATTTGGTTTTTCCCCCCTTCCCGTTCTGTATCAGCTTCCCCGTATAACCGTTGCAAGGGCAGTATCTATTTGGTGTTTGACTTCTGTGAGCATGACCTTGCTGGGCTGCTGAGCAACGTCTTAGTCAAGTTCACGCTGTCTGAGATCAAGAGGGTGATGCAGATGCTGCTGAACGGCCTCTACTACATCCACAGGAACAAGGTGAATGCAGGGCGGGGAGGAGGGGCTGGGGTGGGCTTGTTCTTTGCTCTTACTGCTGTGTGGACGGGACTAAATGACCCTATGAAACCTGGCTGAGCTTTTTTGTGTCCTTCCTATAGATCCTGCACAGGGACATGAAGGCTGCCAATGTGCTCATCACCCGGGATGGGGTCCTAAAGCTGGCAGATTTTGGGCTGGCCCGTGCGTTCAGCCTGGCCAAGAACAGCCAGCCCAACCGCTACACCAACCGTGTGGTGACACTGTGGTACAGGCCTCCGGAGCTGTTGCTCGGTGAGGACTCCCGAGCGGGCAGAGGGGGTCAGGGGCCGGGTACCTACCTGGCCACAGCCCCCATTGCCGGGGCCCTCCTGAGCCGTCAGTCCTGGGACGTGGAGTCTCAGGCAGCCCTTGGGCTTAAGGGTCCCTCCTGGTACACTCTTCTTCTCAGGAGAGCGGGACTACGGCCCGCCCATTGATCTGTGGGGTGCTGGGTGCATCATGGCAGAGATGTGGACTCGAAGCCCTATCATGCAGGGCAACACAGAGCAGCACCAGCTTGCCCTCATCAGCCAGCTCTGTGGCTCCATCACTCCAGAGGTGCGTAACTTAAACTATGTGGCTCTAGGGGATGCAGAGGTCCAGGTCCCTCTGGCCAGTAGTGGAGAGTGAAGTCCTTTCTGGAGAGGAGGCTGGTTGATTGGAGGCCATGGCCTGCTGTTAGAGCCTTATGGGTGCTTGTTACTCCTAAGCGTGTTGGTTTGTGGCCTATTGATTTAGTTCCATTGCTGTACCTGAGAAAAACAAAGGCACAAAGATTTGCTATTATTCAGAAACTTCAGTCCGTGTTTATTTAGCCTTTGCTTTGATGCGGAGATGCTGCTAAATGCCATGGCTGAGAGTTCATGGGAGAGCAGGGGTGTGGTCATAGCAGTGAGCATAGAGCGGGGACCAGTGTTTAGCTCAGCAGTGGTGACAACACCAGAGGCCTCAGCATAGAAATGCTATTCAGCTTGCCTCATGGGTACTTTGTCCCATCTGGGTTCCACCTCCCTAACGCTTCCTCCAGTAGCACCACCAGCTGGAGACGAAGCTTCATGTGAGCTCTGGGAGGCAGTCCAAAGGGTTTTCTGTGAAGTAGGGATGTGCCGGAGCGGGGGATGGTGCATTTATTCCAGGTGACTTGGATAAAGTTTCCGGGCACGAGAGTATGCCACATCTTGTGATTGCTGCTTTCATCTTAAAGGCATTGGATTCTCTTAGGGGTGGAGGGTGTCCGGGGGCAGAAGACCATGGCGTCTTAGATAGGCATTCTTCCACCAACTCCATTCTCTCCTAAACACCTCTCTCTCAGGTGTGGCCAAATGTGGACAAGTACGAGCTGTTCGAAAAGCTGGAACTGGTCAAGGGTCAAAAGCGGAAGGTGAAAGACCGACTGAAGGCCTATGTGCGGGACCCCTATGCCCTGGACCTCATCGACAAGCTGCTGGTGCTGGACCCAGCACAGCGAATTGACAGTGATGACGCCCTCAACCATGACTTCTTCTGGTCAGACCCCATGCCCTCGGACCTCAAGGGCATGCTGTCCACTCACTTGACGTCTATGTTTGAGTACCTGGCACCGCCACGGCGAAAGGGCAGCCAGATCACCCAGCAGTCCACCAACCAGAGCCGTAATCCAGCTACTACCAACCAGACGGAATTTGAGCGTGTCTTCTGAGGCGGGTGCTCATCTTTGGGCCCTTAGGTTGGCGGTGGATTGCTTGGATTGCTTCCTCCGCTGTGTGACTTGCATGGAACACGTGACATGATGGGATGTTTGAGATTTTTCTCCTCCAGTACATAAACGTTTACTCCCCACCCTGGGCGCTGGGAATAGCTGCCTGAGGAGACTGGAGTGGAGCATTGGCTGAAGGCCCTGGGGGGTGCCAGCCACCTATCTCTCTCTCGGGGGGTCTCAGCTTGGACAAGAAGTGGGAAAGGCCTGCCCACTGTGACTTCCTAAGAACTTGAGTGATGAGAGGAGGGCACATTTCCCTCACTATCTCGAGATGAGAAATTTTGAGGAGCAGAGGCACCTCAGAAATGGGCTACTTTTTAGCCTAGACCTCAGGAACATGGGGTTGATGCGAACTCTTGGTTTCTTTAGGGAGAATTTTATTGTTTTGTTCAGTTCAGAAACATTCCTGGATGCAGTTTGATGGGTTAAATTAAAAGTTGATTTTTTTCCAGTAAATGGCTGTATTTTCTGCATTAGACCCTCCCTGAGCTCAGTTAGGATTTGCTCGGCCAGGGTGCTGTTAGTCTTGATTGTTCACCACCTAATAACTCTAGGTGGTTGGTTTTTACGCTCCCCTCCTGGGTACCATCCACTGCACCTGTCACAACCCTGGAGGGCAGATCCACAGTGCCCCATTGACCTGTGTTTGGTGTTTGGAAGTGGCTGTTGCAAGCTGCAGCAGTGGTGAGCTGTTGGGCCCAGGCTGCTTTGGCTCATAATTCCTCAGGCTTTACTCATAAGGGGGTCACTGCCGACTTTTAAATCACTGGAGTGACGGGAGTGTCCAGAATGGTTAGGGTCAGGGCAGAAGATGGCCCAAGTAACATGGGTCAGGGTGATGGTGAGGGCAGGAGGGAAGAACAGTATGGAAATGGGACCCTGAGAGGACCAACCTATTTGGTGGCAAGTTCCCCAAGGGTTTTGTGGGAGTTTGGTCACATCATAAAAGCTAGCTGAGGGCCGGAGAGATGGCTCAGAGGTTATTTTAAAACAACAACAATTAAAAAAAAAAAACCAAAAAAAAACCCAGCTGAAAGGATGATGTTCCCCTATCTGCTCTGGGAGCTGGGTATCCAGAATTCAGGGTAGGTTGGCAGAATTGTTCCCTGCTGGAGGTTCTCTGGGACAGTCACTCAGGTCTCTCCAGACTGGTAGCTAATATAACATGGCCTGTGAGTTTTTTGTTTGTTTGATTTTGGGAGGGGTGGGGTTTGAGGCAAGGTTTCTCTGTACAGCCTTGGCTGTCCAGTCCTTGGCTGCTTTGTAGACCAGGCTGGCATCTAACTCATAAAATTTGCCTGCCTCTGCCTTCCCAAGTGCTGGGATTAGGGGCATGCACCACCACAACCGGCCTGTATTTTTCTGGGTACCAGGGAGGCCAGAAGGATTCATTCCCCTGGAGTTAAAGGTGGTTGTGAGCTGCCATGTACATGCTGCGAATTGAACTTAGGTCCTTTGGAAGAGCAGCTAGAGCTCATAACCACTCAGCCATCTATCAGTTCTTTTTTTTGAGACAAGGTCTCATATAGCCTAGGTTGTCTTCCTGCTTCCACCATTTGGGAGCTGGGGTTACAGGTGGGCACGGCAATTGTGGTTCTGGAAACATCCCTCAGCATCTTCGTTTATTTGTGTATGTCTGAGGATGTCTGTTGCTGGGTTTAGGACCTAGTATAACCAACCCTCTCTTGAGCAGTTGTGTCCGTAGAGACCCTCTTTCTGTGTAGCCACATTCCTAGAGCTTGATTGGAGGGGACATCATTCAATCCAGTATAACTAGAAATTAAAGTTTTTGTGGCTACTAACAGTTTTCAAGTATTCAGTAACATGAAGGCAGACTAATAGAATCCCATTTCAGAATAGTGAAGTATTAAAGGGACTCAACCCTGTGATTAGAAATTGACCTAGGGCTGGGCAAATGCTCTACCATTGAGCCATATCCCAATCCCAGGGCTCGGATTCAATTCTTCCCGAAGTTTCTTACAACTCACGTGTAATATAAACAGCACAGTGGTTCCTACCAGGCCCTAAGTTGGTGAAGGTGGGAGGACTTCTGTGTCAGGCTGAATCAGCATGCACTCACATGTGAACATTATACACAGAAGCATGAATGTGAACAGACACATTTCACTGCAAACACAAAGTGTAGACTGAGGAGAGGAAAGTACAGCGTAGCCGAGGTTGTCAGGGTTGCTGTGGAAGCAAAGACCTCAGGCTGCTGAGGCTGGAGCAGGCACAGAGGCCAGGGCCACAGAGCCTCCTGAGCTTGGTGCAAGAGGGTGGCTCTGTCCTTCCGTGCCTCTGTGTTTCTTCGTTTACTCTTTATCCATGTGATCAACCAGAAAGCAGGCCTGAAACTCTGGAGCTGGGCTGCTGAAATAACTTACCAGGCCTGATGACCTGAGTTTAATTTCTGCGATACGCATGGTGGAAGAAGAGAAGGGTTTCGGCAGGTTGCCCTCTTGACCTTCACATGAGATCTGTGATACATGTGAACACTGCATGTACATAGGAAATTAAAGTTTCTGTAAAAATCCCTGAGCTAGGGGCTGGAGAGATGGCTCAGACGTTAAGCACACTGGCTGTTGTTCCAAAGGTTCTGAGTTCAATTCCCAGTAACCACTTGGTGGCTCACAACCATCCAAAATGTGATCTGGTGCCGCCATCTGGCCTGCAGGCACACATGCAGGCAGATTACTGAATAAATCAATCAATCAATCAATCAATCAATCAATCAATCTTTAAAAAAAAAAAAAAATCCCTGGTGCAGCTGACTCCAAGCTTCCCCCTTCCTTACGCTAGGAAGGAGCTAGGTCTGCTTTAGTATCCAGCTCCGATCCCCTAGGGAGTCAAAAAACTAGGAAAAAGCTGGGTGCAATGGCGCATGCCTGTAATCCCAACACTTGGGGAGGCAGAGGCAGGCAGACAGGCAGATCTCTGTGAGTTCTGGTCTACAAAGGGAGTCCAAGACAGCCAGAACTACACAGAGAAAACCCTGTCTTGAAAAACCAAAAAAGAGAAGGAACACTAGGAAAGGCCTGGAGTCATTTTCTTGATGTCACCTGCAGTCTATAGACTGTCCTATATCCTGACTTTTTCTTTTTGAGCAATTGATCTGGTAAAACAAGGCCTCTTCTCCAGTAAACTTGAACTAGGTCAAGGGCGCTTCATTCCCATGCTGCACCAGGGTTTCCTTGTCATCCCTGCCAGGTAGGACAGGACCAAATGGCTCCAGCTCTAAGGGGAGGTGGACTGTACAAGAAGGGCTACAAGAGGCCAGGTAGAGCCAGTCTCACCTGGGCAGGAAAGCCAACCCCAGATATCCCTGCCTCCTTCCACCCTACCCCCTTCTGGTGCTCACCTTTAACCTCTATCCAGTTGTTATTTAACTCACAAGGGTAGTCCAGCTAGCCCTGTAGTGGGGACATCAGCTAAGACTGACCAGTAAAGTCACTGGGCTGTGCCCAGGATGGCGGTGGAAACCTATCAGGTAAAACCTCCCCTCGTGGAGAGGGTACGGGAGGCAGTGGGAGGGAGTGGCGCTTCCCAGCAGAGCTCAGTCCCACCACAGCTGGGCAGAGCTGCCTTGGCCAAAGGCTTCTCTACTTTGGAGACATTTGTGCCCTACCCATTAAGGGAGCTGGGAACGAAGTGATGAGAAGTGCCAGGGGCCTGCCTATGATCTGGCGTGTGGCTGAGAAGTTCTTTTGGGAAGTGGCCATGGAGTGGAAGGGTCCAGCAGGCAGTGCTTGCAGAGCTAAAACTTCCTCCTTTCAGGTAAGAAAACCCTTGTCTTGCCTTCTTGTGGGTAAATAGTAATTCTCTGCAGGCCCTGGGGAAAGGAAGTTACCAGGAATGGTCTCCTGAGCTGGTGATGTAAAAACCCTCCTGTGACATAGCTCCCACTCTACTGGGACCTCCTCAGAAACCCTGCCCCTCGTCTCGCTAGCTAGGGGAACTGAAGTCCCAGGGTCTCAGGAGCAGACTAGTGCCACCTGTGTTTTACAGGGGCAGGTGAGACGCCCAGCTCAAGGCCAGATCCCCGCTGACCAGGTGACTGCAGGTGGAGCAGGTGGGGCAGGAGTCAGGCAGGGCATGGTATAACAGCCTGTAAGTCACTAAAGCCCGCTTGCTTTAGGCCCTGCTGTCTTCCCTGGAAATGGGACTCAGACATACCCTTCCTCAGAAGCCAGCTCAAGGGTTAAATGAGACAGGCCATGGGGACTGATGCCAGTGCAGTGCCACGCCTATAAAGAACTAGCTCTTGGGCCTGGAGGTGTCTCTAGCTCAATTGTTGCTTGCCTACCCTGCGCTATAAAGCAGGTATGGTGTATGCCTGCAACCCCGGTGCTCAGGACAGGGAGGTAGGGACATCCAGGCTACATGCTCTGGTAAAACATGAAAGCACTTTGCTATTATTTAGGGAAACTCAATTTACAGATAAAAACTAGAGCCAGGGAGTGGTGGTGCACACCTTTAATCCTAGCACTCGGGAGGCAGAGGCAAGCAGATCTCTGGGAGTTTGAGACCAGCCTGGTCTACAGAGCAGATTCCAGGACAGGACAGCCAGGGTTACACAGGGAAACCCTGTCTCAGAAAACAAACAAACAAACAAAAAGAGAGAGAGAGAGAGAGAGAGAGCTGGAGGCTGGAAAATGGCTTCAGTCAATGTGCTTACTGCTCTTGCAGAGGTCCTAGGTTCCGTTTTCTGCACTCACATTAGGCAGCTCAAAAAATCTCCTGTGACTCATGTTCCAGGCTTGTGATGCCTTCTTCTGGCCTCCAATGACACAGCATGAATATGGTTGCACCTCCAACATGTGTCGCACGCACATGTACGCACAAATATAAATACCTAGCCTGCTGGCAACATGACTTTGGTCTCATCAGTCAAGAGGCTGCACCCTGGGCTACATAAGGTGACCTTGTCTCAAAAGAAAAGGCAGAACAATGTGGATTAAAGAGTGCTGGCCAAGGGCCCAGGGATGTTGCTGCTTTCTTCCTTCTATCCCTTCTTTGCTTTTTTATTTTTATTTTTTTCAGGCGAGGATTTCTCTGTGTAGTCCTGGCCATCCTGGAACTTGCTCTATCGACCAGGCTGTCCTCAAACTCAGAGATCTGCCTGCTTCTGCCTCCTTTGCTTTCTATGTGTGCAAACGTGTGTGTATCTGTGTGTATACACTTTCGAACCTGCGTGTGACATACGTATGTGTATTCAATCTTGTGTGCATATGTGTGGGGAGGCCGGAGTTCTTGTTCCTTCAATGGCTCTCCATCTAATTTGAGACAAGGTCTCCTGTCTCTCGCTGAACCTGGAACTCAGTTTTTCAAGGCTGCCTCTCAACCAAGCTCCGGGGTTCTTCTGTCTTTGCCTCCCAGCCAAGGATCTCAGGCTGTGTTCCACAACGCCAGTGTTTTACACGGGTGCTGGAGGTCGGAGGTCCTCCCTGTGCATCGGA